TGGGCTCTGTCGGGAGCGTGCCTGCAGTTTTCTTTCCAAGAGAGAAACACGGGATGGAAGGTCCCGAGCTCTTGAGGGGGAAGCAGACGCAACACGGGGCTGCTGCCCCACCGCTGTGCACGAATTTACGGGATGTTTACAGTGGGAAAGCTCTTCACTACTCCTCATAGATATAGGAACACCCGTATCAATTACGCTATATTTCAGGAACCCCTACAAGAAAAGAGGAACGGGGCTTCTTGATTGCAGAGAGAGTAAAGAATCGTCCCGAGTACTGCCCTTTCTTACCCTGTCCAGGAAGCACAGTGAAAAGTTACTGCCGTGATAAACCCGATGCTCTACTTGGAAGGAACATCTCAGCAGCTCTGCTTCAAATTGTTGTGCTGTGGGAGTTAACAAAACAGACCACGGCAGCCTCTTCATAACCTGCGTCCTCTCCGGGATCAAGGAGCTCTCCCAGACGCGACTCGCACCCACGTGGTGCTGAAGGTCTCCTTGAGCGCCAGCGATGCTGTTCCTGCCTGAGGACCCCATCTCATCTCCTCTCAGCTGGGAATTCCCACTGACATTGTCATTTCTATGCATTTCACTTTGTGACAACCCAGGAAACATTAAAGCAGAAATATTGTGCAATGACAGACCCTACGCTTTTATAGAAACTGACGATTATTAGTCTGCCGGAAATCACTTTGTTCTTACTGAGCCCAATTCTGCTCTTCACTGAGACCAAGCAAGTTACACCAGATTTACAGCGCCGTAAAAACGAGCAGCCGTTGACTTGTTTTCTCTATATCTTCCCAGGAATGCTGTTTGCTCAGTTGGAGTCTTCTTGAAGCCTCCAGTTCCCCCTACTCAGTTCACTTTAAACAGAGATGTTTTGGGTCAAAGACTTGCCAATTAGTATTCTGATAACGTAGCTCATTAGCCTTATCTCCGTACCCCTGTGAAGAAAGCCATTTCCAACCCCTTTCAAGACGCATGAATATATACATGGGCAGAAGGCAGCTGACACAACAGTACAGGGAAATTTAAGCTCCAGTAGCTCATCAGCTCCCCTGTGGTTCATTTCTGGAAAAATGTGCTGCTGACCTTAAAAAAAACCCCACCTCTTCTGACAACGAAAGCACACCAATAAAAACGCAATTTGATTATGGGATCAATGCATAAAGTCATTTAAAGAAAATTAATTATCTCCAAAACAAACAGGTTCACGCGTGGCGCAGGCCTGGCGTGGAGGAAGGTGACCCCAGCGGGAGCCCCGCAGGTGTTTGCCGGGAGAAGTGCCGCCTGCCCCACCACACCGCACCGACAGCCCACAGCCGGACACCGCGGTCACATCCTGAAGGTTTGAAGTTGGTATTTCTAATTGCTGCCTATAGTAGGAAATACACTGTATATTCTTTCTTAAAAACGTTAAGACCACTTCTAAAAAGAATTCATGCTGAGGTAAGACGTAGAAGGGGCAGAGGATGTGAAAATCGGTGGGGCTGCTGTCTGAGCTGGTTGCGCACGAAGAGTCTAGAGCTGGTTTGCTGCTGGTCAACATCCCTGGCGATTGTGGGGGAGAGACATCCCCCCGCGCTCCCGAAGCACATGCTGTTCCTCGGGCACCAGTTAAACACAGCAACCATCTTTTAGACTAAGGTCCTCCTAACTCTTCCTTCTTGGTTTCAGTTTGCTGTCCTTGTAAATCTGTTCTTGTTTTTAAAAAGTCCCCCCATTGTCACATATGCATCTCAACCATTTCCTCATTCAAATTATTTCCCTCCTTTGACTGCATTACGGTTCTTTTTTGGGTTACTAAACGTATGGATCTCATTGACCTTGCTGCCCAGGAAACACCAGCCCCTCCGAGACTGGCGTGACACCGACAACCACAAAGGCTTTGGACCCCGCTCTGAACACGAGCAGGGCTGAGATGTGCAGCCGCAAGTTTTGGACAAGAGAAGGCACCATCGTATCTAACCCTGGGCATAGACTGCATCAGTGAGCACCATGTGAGACAAATCATTTCTAAGACTCCCTGTACGCACCCCTCTGTACGTCGGAGCCCTACGGCTGACTGCTAGCAGCAAGCCTACCCGCAGCAGCGAATCAATAACCTGCGGTCAAACACCTGAAGGTGTTCAGACTCAGATTTGATAGATGTTCTGCTTAGAAAAACTATTGGGGGTTGGGGGGATTAGAAAACTGATGGGATGAAGTACAGAGAGACAATTCCCCCTTTAAAGCAGAAACAAGTCCTGTGAGAAGCACGAGATGTAAGAAGTGTAACGCTGACAAGTGCTGGGACGGCCCCAACAAAACCGAACAAGGAAACGGCCTCTGAGCACTGTCACGAGTGCTCTGATTTGCCTCTTGGTTCGCCCGTTGGCTGAGTTATCTGGAGCGTTACCCGCAGGAGTGACTGGAAAACAAGAGTTCTGTTCCAGGTTGTTATTTTTTGGAGATCTGAGTATTTTCCCTCGTTTGGGGAGGGAGATGAGGGAGTCCAGCAAGCACTAGTCTTTCTGGGCATGACCAACTCCCCCAGGCTGTGGTAGCAGCAATTTCTTGTCAACTGCCTAGCCGGGTTCTGGTCCCCTGTTTAGTGTCCCTGTACTCTTAAAAATTCTTGAAAAAAGTTGGCTTCAGCAGTGCTGGGGTGACCACTGATAATGTCCCCATCATGTTTACTAGCCCAGTAACTCAGTACCAGCATGAATTAAAAAAAAAAGTAAGTGCAATTGTGAATTACAGTACTTTTCTGGATAGTATTTATCTTTTCAATCCAAAATGAAAATTATTTTCATGTATTGCATTTAAAATATACATTTTTAAAGTACCATGACACTTGCTGTTCGTACAAATTTGACTGCATTTCACTACCTACCTAGTACTTCTCATTAAGAGTGACCACTGCTCTACAGCAATAAAGTAAGCGTTTGTGATTATCATACTGAAATTCAATGCCTCAATTACTGAAGCAAAAGAGAGAGATATAAATAAATAATGTTTACATAAAGTCTTTGGTAATTTCAAAATTTTCTCTGCATCATCGTTAGAAGCATTTTAACTTGAGCGAGAGGGCCTAGCAGCCATGTGAAGGAAGTTACGCAGTACATACAATTACACAAGGAGTCGGTTTCCCGTTAATCAGCCTTACCTGCCAGGAGCTCTGCTTGTGCTTCCCAGGGCCGGGCAGTTCCCACCCGCGTCCTGCGCTCGGGGACCCTGCTGACACCGCAGCCCTGCAAAGCTGCAAGCGGGAGCGTGTTCTCGCCCTTCCTCGACAGCAGGGGGTTTGTGCGCTCGGCTGCAGTTCCCGTTCGGTGACTCACACCAGTGGGATTTCTTCCGGATTTTCCCTCCTTCACCTGTTTTTCTAGAGGATCCGTCTTTCCTTCCCGGCTCCTGCCCCAGCCTCCTGGGCTCGCTCTGCGGTACTCGTGCTCCCTTGCCTCAAGGTGATAAAATCTTCTGTTCCCTTTTGCCGCCTCCCCCTGCCCAGAGCGTGCGGATCAGGGATAACGTGTCTTCCATTCACTCTTCTCCAGGGTGAACTTTTTGTTGGGACAATGTTAAGTCTTTTGTCATCATGTAGGGACGGCAAATTGTAACTTATTGTGCCATTTTTCTCATCGTGCTGTGGCTCACGGTCTACTGAAAACTCCCCCCAAAATTCCAACTTGATTTCCTGAAGGGTTCAGACATACCTTCACGTTTTCCCCTAAAGCTGGGCTAGCGGGATATTCAACCAACCATTGGGCATACCCTGTGTTATGAAGAAATACCTCGGAATAAAACACTTCGTTTTCATTCACATCTATCTTTTTGTGAGTTACTCCTCTGGAACTCTTCCTAAAATCTTCTTTCAAGACAGATTTTTAAATAACTATGAATAACAAATATAAATGCGTGACATATAAAACAGGACACGGGCACTTCTACAGAGAAGCAATTTACTACCTGCTTAGCAGGGAACCAAAATATATTCAGTTTATCTGAATTAGTATACTGCTCCTTAAGTAAAGGTGAGAGCTATTTCAAGCAGCAGAGCCAGGACTTCCACCGAAAGTTAGTTCAAGCAGCAGAGCCAGGACTCCGGGAAGGAGCCCGTGGCTGTAGGGGAGGCAGGGGGTTTTTGGCTTTCTTCTTTGTCAGCTTAGTTCTAGCTTTGCAAAACGCTCAGTCAAAGGTTTCGGCGGCGCAGACACCACCAGTGCAGAAATTTCCACATACCCCAGTTCAGCTTCAGTCCGAAAGGGTCAGAAAGATTGCATCTTCCATTGCCAGGAGCAAAATGTGAGGGATATTTGGAGTTTTTGAAATGGCAATGTCTCTTTTTCTGTCTTGGTAATCAGTGCTGTCTTCCTGTTAATAACAGCAGAAGCAATTTGAGCTTCCTCGGGAGGCTGAAACAAGAGAAAGAAAGATATAAAAACATAGGTCAAAAAACGTGTATCTGGGCAAAACCAACATGCATGAAATTTCTGTAAGGTTTATATTTATAACTATCTGTTTGAAGTATACAACTGATAAAAAAGGATTCGTGTTGTGTTCTATTGACTTCGATGACCAATAGGGAATGTTCCCCCACTGCCACCCATGACGTGGCAATTTCTACTGTCTCTGGAAGCACAAACAGATTGGCATTTTATCTCCCATTTACATGGGAAAAAGGGCAACAGCAAGGGCCCTAAGGCACCATGCTGGGGGAAACACATATTTATAAATGACATGTCCCCCCCAGCCATTCCGGGTTTTAGCCTGAAGGCAGGACCAGCCAATGCAGGGGGTTTAACCCAGCTGTGAGCGCCCGGACAGCCCGGCCATGCGGGGAGAAGGAGCAGTGCCACCAGAGATTTCCGTTTTCAGGTTATCTGGGGCACCCAGGAACCCCCCCTCCCCCAGTGCTGCTGCGGCCTGAGCAGCAAGGGGAGGGCTCTGGTGCTTTATGAAAAGAAGAGGGGAGACCAGAGGTGGGCTGAAAGCTTACCTTTTGTGAGTGGCCTGAAGGACTATGACCAAAGAATGAAAGCTAAAGAGAAAAATAAGAACAAAAATAAAAACTGAAAAGGGGAGGGAGGAGAGGAAAAAATGGAAGAGAAGAAAGAGAATAAGAGTTTACAGTGTGTTTAGCTGAGAAATAAGCTGTGGTTACAGAGTGCAACAAAACTCTGAGTTGAAAAGAAATACAAAGTGAGAAGTATGCTCCGAGGGCTCGGGGTCGGCTCGGCTCAGCCAGAGCCCAACAGCCCTCGGACTGATGAGAGCCGTCTCCTGCCCAGTGGAGCCCAGCCCAGTCTCAGCCAAGGGCTCCGGAAAAACGGGGAGGCAAAAAATCAGCTCAATTCTTCTGATACCTCAAAAAAAAAAAACCCCACCCCAAACCCCACACCGCTAAGGTTCGCACTCAGTTTCAGGTGAAAGCCCAGCTCAGGCCCTGCTGCACCAGAACAAGTTCTCCTATGGCAATTTCACTAGAAACAGATGGTTTCAGAAGAGGGTAATTTTAGGGTAAAATTCAACAATTATGGCTTGACCAGAGAAAGCTGGATGACATCAACCACGGCAACAGTGACTGCTGTGGCTGCAGGTGCGGAGAGGACAGGAGAGGAGAAGGAGCCCCCTCTGTCCCTCTGGGGAAGGCAGCTCGGCGCAGCCGCACGCACAGATGCTGGAGACGGGAGGGAGGAAAGATCCCCGGCTCCTTCCCCCAGGCAGGTGTGAGACCCCTCTGCCGCCCCGCAGCTCTCCAGCACTCCTTCCCGGGGCACGCGGACCCCTCCATCCTTGCCAAGTCCCGTGTTTCGGACTTTACTGAAGGATAACAGAAGGAAAGACCCCATTTAAGCTGGTGACCTTTCCTTCTCAGAGGGACTAATGCAAATGCAAGATGGTTTCCTGGAGCACTCTCACGTTTGCTCACTGCACTAACAAACACAGAATTTTTATAAGATTGCTTTCTTAGCCAAGGTGAAATGAATATATGGTCATGTGCACATACAATAACTGTTTCATCTACATTACCTTACCTTTTCCTCTAACTCTTTTATTTGTCTTTTTTGGCCTTCAATTCTTTCTTCTAGCTCTTTAATTCTCTGTCAGATTTCAAATAAAAAAATATTTATTAACCAACCGAATACAGATGTACCCAGAAGACGCATTATTTTTGGAGATATAAATTGTATGTGCTGTGCTTCTAAAAAAATAAATTGGGTTTCAAGCTGTAGATGAGTCCTCCGTGAATGTCACTATGCGTGACAAATGCAAGAAAATCAAAATGCCCTGTTTGTAGGGATTATCCACGGGAAATCCAAGTCTGGCCCCGGGACCAGCCGTTTCGGTACAGCTCTGAGGAGAGGCTGGTGCTCACAAGTTCATTACGTCTCCGTCTGAGGGACCGTCCCACCCCGAATCTCGCCATGCCTGTGCGCGGGCGCCTACCTGCTGTGCATGTTGAATGAGCTCCATCCTTTCTCGCAGGATTTGGGCGTCCCTCTCCCGGAGCTCGCTCATCACCTGCCGCTTCCATTGCTCTACGGCGCTCTTCAGTTTCTCTTTCTCCTCTTCTGAAAGAAGTTCGGAAATTTTGGCTCCAGCTTCTTGCTGCAGGGCATCATAGAGCATGGCTTCTAATTCCAGAATTTGCTAATCAAAAACAATATAAAGCTGTCAGCTTGACCTTGTCTCTGGTCGGATGAGGATTTTGTGAGGAACTGAAAATCCTACCCGGGTAAGGCAATGGGAGCGGGAGAGGGGTAGTGCGCTGAGCCTCTCGCACAGGACAGTGCCAAAAACTCAAACCAGGGGGGAAATACTTCAAGCTGCTCCTATCCTGTGGGGCTCGGAGCAGCACTGGAACTGGGACGGCCCCTGGGCCCAGCCTAGGCTGCCTCCCAAAAAACACACGGGTCTCAACTCCTCCTTTCTGGAGATGGGGAGATGGCCGTGGGCAGAAAAGGCAAAAAGAAAAAAAAAAAAAGAAAGGCAAATGGGAAAAGGAAAAAGAGAAAAGAGGTTAATAAAAGACTCATTTTGTGAGTTACAGATATTTTTTAAATGTTCAGTTAAATGTTCAGTCTCTCGGTTCAACTTTCCCAGCTACGCTCTCGCAGCAGCAGAGGATACGGCAGCACCAGTTCACACTCCTGCCAGAAAGGAATGACTCCCTGTTGTGTGCTAGCAGCATTTTGTACCAACAAGCTTAAAATGCCCCATGTGAAGGCGTTTCCAGCACTTCCTCTGGCAGAGCCGTCAGCTCCAAGAGGCTTTATGCTCATGAAAAATCTATCTGGTAGCCGGGCTCTGTTCCTGCAGTCTCAGGCTGCAGAGCCTTTGCTTCACTGTGTCAGGAAACATCTCTTGCACAGAGACAGATGTACCCTCCAGATTTACTGAGATGCAGAATTGTGTAGGAAACGCACTGGCAATGTTTCCCCAGGGTCACCGAGCCTAGAACCCCCCTAGGGCAGGGACCTTGCCAGACAATGGCTTCTGCTTCAAAGTCCAAGATGAATGTTATTCCTTCGTGCAAGGCAAAACCAAGGCAAAACCAAGACAAAATCTTTTTTCAGCAAGTTTGAAACAGAGCAAGAGACAAAGCAGCAAATGATGGCACCTTTGCACACCCTCTCCAAAGCTGGTGGCGTGCTGCAGAGCTCTCTGTGGCTTCAGGAGACCATGACTGCAACAGGGTGGTTTGGACCTTGCAGAGCTCTCCGTGGCTTCAGGAGAACAGGACTGCAATAGTGCGGCTTGAACCTCTGGAGAGGCTGTTTGAAAATGCCATAGATGTCTGTTGTGATAATTCAGCTCAGTTCAAAATCGACAGGTTTTTCCACCTGAGGCTGCTGGTGGTGGTTGCTTACTATGCCTTAGCAGAGCCAGGACAGAAGAACACAAGCGTTGACAAGAGCAGTATCATGGCAGGAGTTGTGGATACTGATGACAACTGAAAGGCAGCAACCATGGTATCGCTGTGGGGAGGATCAGACCAGATCTCAGAAGACTCTGTTTTCACTTTTATAAGTAAAGCCAACATCCTTGCTAACCGTAACGTTCTCAACAAAATGCTGTTATTTGAAACATGGATTTATGTTGGGCCCCAAACCTCAATTATACAATCGTTATCCCTCTCTGATTATATTGACTTGTGAAGAAAGAAGAGCGTGGGGAAATTCACAGTCTCCAGAGCAGCAGCAGTCGGGAGTCTCTGTGAGAGCCAAGTGCTTCTCGGAGCAAAATCCCCCGCCAGCAACCAACGGGAGTGAAAACCATGCAAAAAGCTTAGCGGTTACAGCTGGTAATCTTGTTGGCTGCAGTTAGCAGGGGAAGATTAGCGGCTCCTCATCTCAAGGGGCACAAAGGAAACATGGAAGTGAAACAAATTACACAAATGAAAAGAGCTTTTGCCGCTTGAATTTCGGGGCAGAAGCAAGCTTTCTTACTGCTTTCAGGCTGCATTTGTGCCTGGGAGTGACGTCCATCCCTTTGCCTGGGGACACTGGCATGATGCATTCAAAGAACACAGGAAAGTGCAAATAACTCTCGGGTACATCTGCATGGGCTGCAACACATCCGTGACACGCGTTCCGTCTCCACAAACGGCAAAGCCAAGGAGCAGGTAGTTGTTGTGGAGCCTTTGGTAAATTTGGGATCCTAGAACTGGAGATCCATCTCATGGGTGGAGAGCGGGCGGCTGGCTGGGAGCCACAGGGGTGCTGAGTAACGCCCTCATCGACAGCCACGGCTCCACGGCTGAGCTCTCCTGCACAGCCCATGGCGTTACCAGGAGTTTCAAGTGATTCGTACGATTTTTCCCACTCTGCTGCTGTTGCAAGCTTCCGCATACTCAGATTTATGGATCTGTTTCAGAACTTGCCCAAGACCCAGAGGATCACCTCTCTCAGGGCTTATCTTTGAAGATGAATCCTACAGGCTCAGCCTTCGGCTACACCAAACTGCTTCTCACAACAGCTCAATGCTGCAGGAGATAATCTGGTTTTAGGGCTGAGACTGCAGGTAAGGGGGAGCTTGTGTAATTTGCAGGGTTTCCACTGTGCATAGGCATTGGTTCCAGATATAGCTCAGTGTTTGGCAAAATCAGTCTTGAAAAACATCCTTACGGGACAGAAAGTGTACTGAGGAAAAGCTCTCCAAAATGGTTTGAGATACAAATAGATAATCGGTATCCAGAAAAAGAGACACAAATACTCACTGCTGTGTAACTGTGCTCAAAATTTAAATGGAACTGAAAGAACGAGATAAATCGATATGAAAATTTATGCATTTATGTCTTTCATGAATATATACTGATTTTTTCTCTAAATGAGCTGTAATCTAAGATGTAAGGAAATGTCCAGGCTAAAATCTCTATTTTAGAAGGAAAAGAGAAGTCACTGAAAACATCATTTTCTTATTAGTCATTCACTGAAACCTCTGCTAAACTAAAACTCGTGTTTAATAAGTTAACGTTCAGGTGCTGATCCTGCAAGGACCACCCAAACACAAGAAACTGTCTATAAGGAACTCATCGTTAGCGCAGGGTATAGAGGATTTGTTCAAAATTCAGCCTATTTAGCCCTCGGGTCACTCCATGAGCAGTACTGACCACAGTGCAGCGTTTTTCTACCGAGAACAGGCTACACCTATTACACAAGGTGAGTTAATCGAGATGTCATAATTCAGGCAAGACGGATTTTCCTCACCTTGTGAGCTTGGTCCAAGGACTGTTTCCTGAAGTCGAGCTCATCATCCAGGTAACCCTTCTGCTTGCTGAACAGCTCCTGCGGACAGAAGGAAGAGGCAGTCAGCGCAACGGTGGTGGCCCTCACGCCGCTGCTCCTCCTGCCGCCTCTCCCGCCGGGCCGTTCCCCTCCTCTCGGTACCTTTTCATTCTCAAGATCCAGCATCTTCTGCTGCAGCGCAGACTCCGTCACTTCTATCTGCTGTAGCCACTGTGTACAGAAAGAGAGACCGTGTGCTTAAGCCCAAAGAGCAGAGGCAGCGTGCCCGCGCATTCAGCTTGCACCCTCGCTTTAGGCTGTGTCTGCACACACTGACAGGGCTTACTTAAATTCACTAAATAAAAGAGGAAAAATTAACTTTATTATTACATCTTTTCTTTCATATATATTGGTAATGGAAAAAAGCATTATTTCCAAGCCTAGCCAGTTACCTTCTAACGTCATTTTGCTAACTAAGTAACATTTAAAAATAAGCAATGTCTGTCTGTATTGCCTCAATGTTACCTTTATTTTGACAAAAAAACTACTGTAAGTATGATTCCACATAAAGAATCAGGACATTCTGTGATGAAACTATCATTTACATCACCAGTGTCTTCAAGTGAGCTGTTGTGAGAGGCTCAGCTGCTTTCATGACACACGTTTACTGATGAGCGCTGCAGTCGTTATTACCTTTTCAGCCAACGTGAGAACTGTCCTTGCTTGTATGATGACTACTTGCTCTTCGTTGCTCAGATTCTGCACCAAAAGCAGAATATAATTACAACAAATCCTGGCGTCTTGTTATTAATCCACTACTTGGGCTACTGCTGTGTTAAATAAATAGGAAATTAAATACAACCAAGGAACAATAAACTAAGGCAAAGAAAAATAGTATTGCAAAAATGATTGTAACTATTCATGCTGAATTGTTATCATACATACAGTTAATTCTTCTAAAATCCTCTCATTTACCAAAAAAAGAGATGTTGACGCAGGATCTCTTTTTCCCCCAACAGGGAATAAACACAAAGTTACACAAGACAAAATCAAGCTTAGCACAATGTGCCATTAAGAAAAGAGATGCAATCTTAAGTCCTCTGTGATCCACTATCTGCACAGTAGGTTCATACACAATCCTTATTCTGCACAGCCAATAGCAGCCAATAGTCATGATTTTTGAAAACACTTGTTAGGGTGTTAGTTTTTCAATTCACCTTTTTTTTGTTTGTTTTGTTTTGTTTTGTTTTTTTAAATGAAAATACAGTATGTTTTGCATTTCATCCATCATCTTTGAAAGGTCCTGGAGGACAGGTGAGGTGCCTGAGGACTGGAGGATAGCCAATGTCACTCCAGTCTTCAAAAAGGGCAAGAAGGATGACCCGGGAAACTACAGGCCGGTCAGCCTCACCTCCATCCCTGGAAAGATGATGGAGCAGCTTGTTCTGGGTACCATCTCAAAGCACCTGGATGAAAAGAAGATTATCAGAAGTAGTCAACATGGATTCACCAAGGGGAAGTCATGGCTGACTAATCTGATAGCCTTCTATGACAAAGTAACTAGATGGGTGGATGAGGGGAGGACAGTGGATGTTGTCTACCTTGACTTTGGCAAGGCTTTCGACACTGTCTCCCACATCATCCTCACAGGAAAGCTTAGGAAGTGTGGCTTAGATGAATGGACAGTGAGGTGGATTGAGAACTGGCTTACAGATAGAGCTCAGAGGGTTGTGGTTAGTGGCGCAGAGTCTAGTTGGAGGTTAGTAACAAGTGGTGTCCCTCAGGGGTCAGTACTGGGCCCAGTTTTGTTCAACATATTCATCAATGATCTGGATGAAGGGATAGAGTGTACCATCAGCAAGTTTGCTGATGACACAAAACTGGGAGGAGTGGCTGACACGCCAGAAGGCTGTGCTGCCTTACAGCGTGACCTCGCCAGGCTGGAGAGTTGGGCAGAAAGAAACCTTATGAAGTTCAACAAGGGTAAGTGTAGGGTACTGCACCTGGGGAGGAATAACCCCATGCACCAGTACAGGTTGGGGGCTGACCTCCTGGAGAGCAGCTCTGTGGAGAGGGACCTGGGAGTCCTGGTGGACAACAGGATGACCATGAGCCAGCAATGTGCCCTGGCGGCCAAGAAGGCGAATGGCATCCTGGGGTGCATCAAGAAGAGTGTGGCCAGCAGGTCGAGGGAGGTCATCCTCCCCCTCTACTCTGCCCTGGTGAGACCGCATCTGGAGTACTGTGTCCAGTTCTGGGCTCCCCAGTTCAAGAAAGACAGGGAACTGCTGGAGAGGGTCCAGCAAAGGGCAACAAAGATGATTAGGGGACTGGAGCACCTTTCTTATGAGGAAAGGCTGAGGGACTTGGGTCTCTTTAGTCTAGAGAAAAGAAGATTGAGGGGGGATCTTATTAATACATACAAATACTTAATGGGAGGATGCCAGGGGGATGGGAGTAGTCTTTTTTCAGTGGCGCCCAGTGATAGGACGAGGGGTAATTGGAGCCATTCCAAACCCGCCTGGACGCCGTCCTGTGCAACCTGTTGTAGGTGACCCTGCTCTGGCGGGGGGTTGGACTAGATGATCTCCAGAGGGCCCTTCCAACCCTGACCATTCTGTGATTCTGTGATCCCAAACCTCGGTCATACTGTGACCACATCTACAGCAGCAGAAGTCAGCCCTTCTGGTTCGGGGCCCATATTTGCTCAGACCCAGAGAGCCGAGTCTGACGCGCTGCTCTCAGGTACAGGAGGGTATTGCCCCCCTCTGAGCCTTGCTTCTGCTCTGCTCCCAGAGGTTCTCTCTCTGGGGATCGCCTCACTCAAAGCAGTACTGAACTCCTGGCAGTTCAGCGGGAGGCAGGTGGGAGCTGCGCAGCTCTTTACAGAAATGCAAGTGAGGAAATGGGCAGGAAAGGCCGGAATCACTTGCCCGGAGGCGGGACATGGGTTCACTTTCCCACAGCCCCTAACAGCCAGGCACCACAACGGGCACCCATGGGGCTGAGTCTGCTGTGTTAAACACGTGAAAACAAGAAAAAAAACAAGCGATAACAACAGTCTACAGCTATCTTAAAGCTATCTGAGGTGAGAACCGTGAACTCCCCCTTGTGTCACATCTGGAATTAACTGGCTGTATGTAATAGCAAAATAAAAATCAGCGGGAAATAACATTATGGACTAGAGATCGTTAATATAAGTAAAGAAGCCGCGAGGAAAAGAAAGGGAATAGAAAACATGAGAAAAGCTATCACTTTTTTGGTTCCTCTGTCTCCAAGCTGCGTGTTTGGGACACAGCCCTGAAACGCTCCGCACGGGACTAACCTGACATTAATAACGCCACTGAAGACAACATTAGCACAGGCATGAACAGATTAATAGGTATTATCTTTCCACACATTAGTAGGGTCAGTCTTAACTCATTGGTCATGAAGCTTATATGCATCTTTTTTTTATTCTCTGCACACAGATTTTAGGATTCTTCATATCTCTGCCAGTATGAATATCATTAACTGCGGTGGTGAAGATTACTAATTGCTTCAATGCGTTTCAGCTCCTCCACTAACTCCTGGCTTGATTTTGTGGAGCAGAGCATGCAGGTGTCAGAGACTGGGGAGAGGATGACCCAGCTCTTCTAGACAGAGAGGTGGGTGAGAGGCACCTCCAGGCTGCGCCCCTGGCGCTGGGGACTGCATTTTCGCTGGTGTCCAAGTGCGCAGTGGCAGGGGCAGAGCTGGGGCAGAGCTGGGGCAGAGCTGGGGCAGCTCCGGTGAGGAGCTGTGGGAACGGTGGGGACCCTTCTGCCGACCGATGGCCGCAGTGGGATTCCCCCAGGGAGGAGCCCCGCAGCACCCAAGGGCTCTGAGAGACCCTCCGCTCTCCTCTGCCCCGCGCAGCCACGGCGGCTCTGGGGCTCTGCTGGTACATGACAGTATGGGGAAAAAACACACAAGGGCACATATACCCTCTCTATACATGTTACTATAGGTATAATTAATCACTTCCACTTGCTAAAGGAGAAACACTTCCAAATTTCTTATTATTTGTTTCTTATTTCATGCTGCTGCTGTCCTGGTTACTATTGAAGGTTTATGGGTTATTAGACAGAATTAAAATACACAGCTGCTCAAATGCAAAAACAAAGCAAATGCAGAGCAAGCAAATAAACAAACCGTGTGAAAAGTGACCAGAAAAAACCCAAAACAAACCCCACACGAAAATTTCAAAATATTTTCCAAATCATTGAAAATTTAAAAGCAGTATTGTGACACCAAGATCCCGCATGACACTGGGCAGAAGGCTGTTAACAAAACCTTAAAAAGCCAGAAAGCGCTCAGCACGTAGCCCAGTCCTTTGACCACAGGGAGGACAGGGTGTGCAGCAGCAGCCCAAGAAGGCTTTGCTAACTTAACATGAGGACAAATATTTACCAAAGCATGCACAATTTATTAAAGGAACATACACTTACGGCGTTATCCCCTAAAATGTCCAATTTTTTCATCAGCTCTGCTACTACTATGTCCTAACAAGAAAGAAATGGAAAACCAGGAGTCAGATCAGAGCATCTGATTTTATTTAGGGAAAGGAAAGTACGAAACGAGAATCCCTTACCGTTACACCTTCTGCCTCGCAGTAGACCTGCAGAGGGCTTTTCCCCTCTGTAAAAGGACCGTGATGGAAGTTGATGGCAGGCGACCGTCTTTCTCTCTCCTGGAATGACAATAATTGCCCGGTTACGCACGATGGTATGTCACAAATGGCAGCTTCGGTTTGGAAAAGGCTCACCCTAACCGAACACACCGCAAAGCAGAGTGGCTTTGTCTTGGGCACCGAAACCCTTCCTCCGCACCCTGTGGCCACTGACACTAACAGCCGGGAGCAAGAGCCGTTCCTCTGGCCAGACCAGGTGCCTTTGCGAGGGCCCACGGGGCTGACGGGGAAGACCTCCACCGCACTGCGAAGCAGGACAGACCTACACGTTAACAGCGCTACTATTTTCCCACCACGCTCTCCCCTGGGTACTCATCACCACCACTTACTTATTGTTTCGACTACGTAATATATTTGAACAAAACGATATGCTTATACCTAGTATAACATAAATAGCATTTGAAATGTTCTTGTAACTGGCTGCTTTGCTAATGTCTCTTTGGAGAACTTGGAAAACGGTTTCCAAGAGCTTGTAGATTCTGCTTATACAGGTAATGATCTAGAGAACGGAAGGCTCAGTGGAGTAAACAGAGCGCTCTAGGCTGTGTGATTCCTCCTCTGCGGGTTTAGCAGGAGGTGAAACACAGCAATGATCTTTGGCAATGAAAAAAGAGTTCCTTTTTCGTTTTCTTTCACATGTATGATCTCTTTTGGTTTTATCTCTTTGCATTTTCAGAACAGATGGAATACGGTAAAATGTGTATGTACATCATGAGCCAATCTTCTGGATCTTAAAGTTACTTAAGTAGTAAGACTGCCAGAACAACCTATCAAGAATACCAGTATTGATCCCTGGGGGTTTGTTTGGGTTTTTTTTTCCCTTTTACCAAACCCTTTGGTCTCGTTCGATGCAAAGCAGCTTTTCAGAGTAATCGTGGGCAAGTTCCCACAGCTGCGGTGCCCCGGCCCCGCTCACACAGCCCAGGGCAGGCAGGCGGGACCGTGGCCGCAACGTGTGCTCACTTCAAGCTCCAGGATCCTGAACTCCAGAAGCTCGTTTTGATCCTTCGCGTCCTGGACATCATGTTTCAAGCGAGCTTCCTCAGCTTCCATTTGTTTTATCTGCAAAATAAAGCAACACGTGTCAGCACCGTTTGCCATGTCACTCGAGACCCGTCACACTTTGGCCATGCCGGGGAGACGCCGGGGCGAGCGCGAGCGCCGAGGGTCCGAGCCCACCCCCTGGGGTCAGCACGAGAGGGGACGGCAGCACGGGGGAGTGTGGGGCTTTTCCCCACAACCACCTTCTCACATGGCCCCACAGTGCGACATTTTATGGGGCAATAGGGAATGCCAGAAAACCACTTTTTCTGGCAGGTTTATAAATATCTTGTTATTATATGTGAATTATTTCCAGTAGAGCTGTGTGATACAGATTAAAATATTGCAACTTCTGCATTCTTAAACTACAAACATTATTTGAATAATACAAATAGAAATATTGAACACCTTTTCTACCAGTTCTTGATTTCTTCTATACAATGCTTGCTTCTCCTCAATCCATTTCATGTCCTTGAAAAAGAAATAAAAACTGTAATTCCATTATTTCCTATGATACAAAAGCTCACCCTTTCTGTCTGACTTTAACAGTCCACAGTATACAAATGGAATAGAAATACTCCAATGACTAAAAAACAGCTTTCAGATGAAAGATTGATTTGCACTAAAAGGGATATTTCTAGCTACGCAGTTACTATTAAATTTCAATTATACTGAACACAGATCACATATTTCTGGACACTAGGCAAAATAAACCTTATTTTGAAACTAATTTCTTAGTTTGATGGATATATAAAACCCACAAATCCCAAAACATTATTTATCAGTAAGGTTAACAATAACAAGAGGTTAAGCTGGAGAGGTGAGGATCAAATGATTTAGTATTATTTTAAAGTTCTCAAAAAACATTTTATGCGTCTGGTTTTTTTTTTTGGTTTTTGTGGGTTTTGGGTTTGGGGTTTTTTTGGCTTGAAAAGCAAGACACAGACTAGAAACAGCCTGGGAACATTTGTTGTATTTCCAGCTGGGGGTTGGGTATTTGCAGTCTGCGATAGTTCATTCTCAGGGCTGTCCCAATGCTACAGCTGCGCCTGTTTCTTTATCACCTTTGGATGCCAGTGTGCGAGGTGGTCTTAAACTCTGTACTCTTCCAATTTAAGGTGCATTTTCCTTTTAACGCTCTCCTGTGCTATGCTACTTCATGCGCATCTCCGGAGTGTGTAACCTCAGTGCCAGGACCGACGAGCGCACCCCAGCCACGAGGAGGAGGTGCTGTGTGGTGTAGAGGCGCTTGGCCTGAGTTGCTGCCCCGCTGCCAGGACGCTCCCCGATTTCGGTGGAGGATGCATCCGAGGGACCGCACAACTGCGCTGCTAGCATTCCCAGCCCGTCGGCTCTGCAGGCAGGGAAGCAGAAACTCCCAACTCCACAATGCCTTTTCTGTTTGGGGAACATTATGAGGGAGCATTTTCTAACACTAGTTAGGCATAGCATAGGACATACGTGAATGGCAAATATTTGGACCTCAGCACTGCAGTCCAAAGGGATCGAAATGGCGTGCAGCAGCCAGGAGCATGATGGGGTCTGTGCCAGGGGCTGAACGCGACCCACTGAAAGCTGCAGTGGCACCCAAAGCTGCCAAGACCTCCAGCCGGGCTGGCTTTGCCGAGCGAGACCTCAAGCTCAGACCAAGGAGACAGACTACAGAGCCCGCCTCGAATGAGCCAGTCAGGCAAAAGCAGACACCTTGCAGTGAATTCAGAAATTAAAATTGCTAAGTGTAAGCCTTAACATATCAAAGCAAAAATAAGACACCTTAATAATGCCTGATGGGATGAGAAAGGCAGAGCTCAATAGATGTTTGGTTGAACGTGACGTGTTTCATGTTAATCATTTAGACTAAATTTCCTGGAGTGCAGTTTCACAGATTATTGAATTGTATTTCAAATGAATCATTTTTGAAAGAATGACTGAGATGATTTGACAAGCTATTGCATGAACAGGCTGACTGGTGAACTACACAAACAGGTGAACTGGACACTTCAAATAGCCCTAATCCACAAATTTACTCTGAATTTAAAGAAAGCATTCACAGCAAAGTTTTTCACATGATGAGAACCCCTTTGGTTTTGCTGAAAATCCACAGCCTGTGCCGTGCACTGCCTCCTCCCCTTGAAATGTTTAACCACTTTCTCATTTACCACCTGTTTTTCTCCTGTAAAGGAAGTAAAATCTTGTGGAGCTACAAGGAAAGCTGCGGGCAAGAAAAGCTTACTTTTACATTCACTGAATACACGTTTCACTAGAAAATAAATATTCTTCCTTTATTTTACCTTCCCACTTTTCTCCTAGGTATCAAAAATACGGGTAGTCTGTGAGAAGTAGAGAGACTTCTGGCCAAACGCAATTGTTCCCTCTCTTTACCATAATACTTTCTCTGTATTTTTATACATCTTCAAATTGATAAGGGAACTGATCTGTCATTCACTGATCTAATTTTCAGGAGACGCACAATAAAACTTCAGAGGGCAGTTTTAAGCTGGGGACAGTAAGGGGCAGAGGAGGCCTAACGGGCGCTGCCGTCAGCTGGATGCCAACCTGCACCCGGTGCTTTGGGCTGCAGTGACAACGAGTGTGGGAATTCATTTCCTCTCGGCTGCGCAGAGAAGGTCTCAGCGCCTACAGACACACTGCACCCGTTTTGACTTCACAGCTGTGGAAATACTGAGTTCAGGCACTCCTTTACCAGCTGCCTTTTGCTTTCCCTTACTGTAACGTCTGTGTGTCACAGACCCTTTCACGCAGGCACCGTCCGCTGTTCTCCCCGTTATGCTGGAGCAAGGGAGGCATTAAGGCTGAGATCAGCAAAGATACGTGGGGCTTTCGTGGGTGTTGGTTTCAGGAGCGGCATGTAAGCACTGACGGGGACTCAGGGCTTTGGGGACCGATATTTCAGATACCAACACATGTAAATGTGGAGAGCGGAGTTTTCAAAAGCCCTCGCATGCCTGACTCTCCTTGAAACCAACTAGTCACATGTATTAAGTGTTTTCTTTTCAATTAATCGACACGTTTATTGAAATAGTACTCAGCCGGTTACATTAATGTCTCCCAAATGAGGAGTGCAGTGGTGATGGGGCTCGTGCAGAGTGGGTCACTACAGCATCCATCGGCAGGACGCTGCTTCCCTACCATGACACTGCTTTGTATGAAATGAAACAGCTATTGAAAAGTCGCGTCAGGATTATTCTATACATACACAAGCACTCACTAGCATCCGCAGCATTACATGGTAACACGACCAGGCACGTCTCTAGAGCCCCCTCCTGCCCCCAGCACGAAGGCTGGAGAAAGGGCCGGTGTTTGGCCGCATGCGTTACCTGCCCCTGCTCAGCGAGGGCCTTCTCCAGGTCTTCTATCTGAGCCTGAGAGCGGTGTATTTCTGCTTGGAGCTGCTCACGCGTCTGTAGGATACGAGGGAAAAAGAAAAAAAATAATAAATCAAACTTTCTCTAAAAGACGAAAGTTAACAGAGGCACAAAAATACTTCAAACGTTAAAAATTATTTGTTAAAAGTATTTGAAGTTCTTTGGCCGAATAAATTTGCAGCTAAGCACATAGCATTAGTCATTAATCATAAAAAGAAGTCTGTAAGATAGGAAAATAAACTTAAGACCGAAATCAAGATTAACATAAAGAGCATCCCATTAGGCAGACAGTAGGACAGCAAAATAGAAATGTGTCCTTACAGCGGACGGGGGTGCAGAGAGCAGCCCTTCCTGTCCTAGAGTAAGGCGTTTAAAAAAGCCAGTGTAAGGCAAAGATCGCTTCACAGAATTCACAGAATTCACAGAATTGTTAGGGTTGGAAGGGACCTCTGGAGATCATCTAGTCCAACCCTCCTGCCAGAGCAGGGTCACCTACAGCACGTTACACAGGACAGCGTCCAGGCGGGACGCTACTGCTAAGCTGTATATCCAATTTATCTAACTGATCTTTAACGTGCTCCATGGCTTCTCCATAAAGACAAACAAAAATTATCTTGCCACAATTCTGGGCAACTCCAACTCTTTTAAAATGTTGATGAGTTAAAAAGCTCAGAACAGACCCTATATATGTAATGTTACCAACTGGCAAACTGTGCTCCTACTCATGCACTTAGTACCCTGTCTTATGGTCTTACCCTATTGTGTGTAATTTTTTACTATACTTGTAGCTTTGTGCTTATTTAAATATACATCACCTTCCTACATATGTTTTCTGGAGAATAAACATAATAATTATTAGCTATTTTATTTGTTAAATATTGTTTTATAGAACATTTTATTTCCTCAAACCATTTATCTGCTATTTATCTTGTTATTTACAAGGAAAAACATCTTTCTTGTTTGCATTACCTGCATCGTTCTCTCTTTTTGTCCTACTATGGAAAAAGTAAAATCGAGTCACTTTTCAAGTGAGACATGTCTTGTTTCATTCTGATTGTCTTTACCTGTGCAATTCCTGTCACTTAAGAGCAGAGCGCCTGCTTCTGGGAACGTTAATTTTAATGCGGTCTGGGCAGTGAGAGAGGGTGAGGTGCCCCATGATTGCCCAACAGGGAGGTCGCTGCGAGACGGGGGATGCTGCTAAACCTGCGTGGCTGAGAGACACTCGCCAGGGCAGCGCGCGGTGAAATTAACACCTAATTCTTCGACTTATTCAGCGGGAAAAAAAACAGGCTAGTTATATAGCTAGGAAAGCCCAAATATTATTGTAAAGCTGGAATTCAGCTAGAGGAATTTGGCCGTTTGTTTTATGTCTAATTGGAGCCAGGGAACTGCCCGCGGTTGGGACAGTCGCAGCTCGGTGGTACCCGGTGCTGTGCCGCCGCTGCCGGAGGTGTCCCCACCGGCGGCCCCGGGTTGGAGGGTATGGGTATCTCCCAGCATTGCCGTCCTTACCTTCACCTACAGCGGGCACCCCGGATAACACACTCACACAATCGATTTAGAGCCAAATTAAGACCTTGCAATTACACTTCTGTTCGGCTTCAAACTGTTAGCTCAGAACAGAATTTGTCCCTTTATTTACTACATTCACCCATGCATCCCGTGCGCGGTAAGTCCTGCCAACTCCTTGTAATCTACAACATACTCTCGATAAATGTAACCCCTTACGCCAGATGTTTGAAGCTGTGCGGGCTGTGGGAGGCAGACAGGCAGGCAGAATAGCACAGGGCACTCTGCAATTTAATTAAGAAAAAGAATCTCTCTCGGCTATAAGCCTTCTAAACAGTTTATGAGGAATCATGTAATCTCACAGAATTAAATACCAGGCATTATATATTTGAGGCTATCTGTCCTAGATTTTTATAGAAAAAGAGCTTAATTTTAAGGATTTTCCATAAAAATTCTGTCTGAATTTCTCTTCAGCTGATCAGAGGTGAAAAGACTAAAGCATACCAACGGTGGTTCCTCCAGCCAACCAGCAGGTCAGGGGGGATGCTGGAGCGGTGGTTGGTGCTAGAGAGCCCAGAGCCCACCCTGGCTGCCAGCCCAGCCAGGTCCCCTGCCCCCCCCCGCAGCCGGCAGCACGCTGGAGGGGCTGGCTGACCCCCGCTCAGCTTCAAAACTGCCTGAGCAAGTACAACTGGAAACCCCCACACAATCACAATCCTTTATTTTCATGTAATATAAGCCATTTAGACCTTAACTTCTCGTTCTGCATCCAATGTTCCTCCGACCTGTTCTTGCAATAGGGCGTACGCTCGTTGCAGAGCCTGGTACTCCATTGTCAGCTGCCGAAACCGCAGTTCTGTCTCTTCCTTGGCCATGCCCTGGAATTGAAAACAAATATGCATGGCACCAGTTGCTTTTTTTCTGCAATGAAAGTAAAAAATACCGTAAGAGTGAATTACATTTGCTTTCTCTAAAAAGTGCCAAAATGATTACTTTCAAACTGCAATTTGGGAAGCACAGTACTGAGGATCTTGTTTACTGCCCTCAGACTACTCTTTTGTGCCTTAAGCATCTCTTGCATACACTTACTTCAAGAAAATGCAATATAGGGAAACAAAATGAAATCCCCCCCTCCTCGGAAAGATAACAACCTGCCATCCACACAACATACTGACAACCGAATTGCCCTTTATTACTGTAACGGGGAAAGTCATCCCATTCAAAGGTGAAAATCCAACTTTCTTGAAACAACAAAAGGCTTCCAATCTGGAGAATAAGCCAAGCCTGACAGTCTCACTCAATTATTAAAACACTAATCTAGAGTTAATACTTGTCGAAATGGTGACATCGACATGAAAAGAGCCCTTCATCTTCCTGACTCTCCTTACAATATCCAGCACTGAAAGCTTTCTTGTCAGGTAGACCGGAATATTTCATTCGACATGAAATGAAATGAGACTGCTGTTTGCATGCATAAACTTCGTACTATCTGAACAGGGAAAAAAATGTCAATACAGGAATGAAAAATAAATAGGCTCATACATATAAAAATACATTCAGATTTCCTGCAGCACAGCACACGCCCGGTAACCACTCATGTATCTTTTATGATGGAGGTAGGAATTCCTTAGGCTCCCTTTTAACAGATCTAATTACAACCCGTGAAACAGGTGAAATGGCAGATGAAAAATCGCAGCCATTGTACCATAACAAGGCTGCAAGTCATTCTTAGGATTGTCTGTTTATTACAAGATTCTTGTTAAACCCAGAAACATGTAATGGTACAGTGATCAGACACACGCTCGGGAATGCATTTGTAGGGAAGCCTGGCAAAACACCAGGAATAATCACTTTTCTTTGTATTACCAGGTACCTGTGTGTACTCTGCATTCAGAGCCTCCAGAAAAGTCACGACCTCAATATACCGGGGAGGAAACAGCCGTTCCTCTGCAGACTGGTGCTTTACGTGACTGCTCACTTCTTCCAGAAGCACAAACCTTACCGCTTAAGGCTGTGCTCTGTGCTGAGGTCAAAACGACAAACAGAAGGACCTGAACTACACGTGCACAAACCTGCAGTAAATCTCAACGTGAACAGATCTTCCTAGGGCTGTCCAACTTCTCAGTCTTTTTAGACCTCTAACCTATAAACCCATTATAAATCGAATATTCTTAGGATATAGCGTTTCCATTATTTCCAGCTTGGATAAAAGTTGTGAAATTACTGAAGACTTGAGATCCAGAGCTATTACCCAACATGCACAGTACTAAATTTAACATCAATTTTTAATTTTGTGGTGAGAGGTGACAGATATAACAGGCCAGAAATTTCATTAAAAATTAGTAGCGAGGTTTCAAAACAGAACAACACATATTTTTGATGAGTACCTCTTCCAAGTCATCTTCAGGAGTGCAAGGGGTTTGATCTGTCCGGTCAGTTTGATACGAGATAGAGGAACCATCAGACTCCAAGGAAGCTTCTTCATCGTAGCCGAAGAACGTCTCCACAACCGGCTTCTGACAGAGACAAGGTGTCAGCGAGCGCAGCGCAGCGCAGCCACACCGCGCGGCAGCGGTGCCATGGGCTCCACCAGCCCGACGGCGTCAGGGGGCACAGCGGTGACTCTGCACACATGGCTAAACTCTGCCCCTCGGTAGGACTGGAACATACACACCTTCGGAGGAACCTCAATTCCAGATTATTGGTAATTCTCACTCTATTGGTTTTTGAAAAACGGGTCCCGTTCCTTACATGTGTATACATATAAAGTTTGTTCACCCCACGACAGTGCTCCAACAATAGCTGAAACCGTTCAAATCCCTGAATTTTCCTGTTTGTTATTAGGTATCACAGTGTGACGCCTCAAAGCCCCTGCTTTTTTGTAATGTGTTTTCCTCCCGCTGTCTCTAGCTGAGGCAGAGCCCCCTTTTCACTTCCTCGCGTGTTCATCTCAGCGTGAGGGGGGAGTTGTGCACCGAAATGTCTTTGTTAATCCATCGCCATCACCAGGATGCCAATCCTGGCAGCACCACAACTGTCACACAAAAAGTTAGATTTGCAAGAAATATTCTACTTGAAAATTGAAGTTAATCACCACAGCGATGTTTTTACAGTTTGAAAAAATCAAATTTTCCACTCAGATCTGTTTTCTGTTTAAAACAATGAGGGTAGTGCTGGTAAAAAGCTTTTACTGTTAAAGGCTTGAAAGTCAAAGATGACATTTCCAACACCACATTTTAAAAAATATTTTTAATTGCTGATTTACAAAAAAAATTTGTAGATTTTGGCTTTTTTTTTTTTTATTTGCAGTGGATAACTTTTGAAGGAGACAGAATGTAACTCTCCTTCAAAGGTCTGGTTGCCCTCTGCAGGATGACAGGAGTTATGGAGTTACCTCACATTGACCGCAATTTGTTATTTATAGATTCGTTAGCTCCATCACCGCTTTAATTCTTCATATGTAAAGCACAGCTTGCTCTAAGGTCCCTGACATTATACCTAACGATGTTGCTACAGCGTTAATATTTATATTAACATCCTGCCAAGTATTCATTAACTAACATTTTCTTTTTCCCTGAGCTCTAACCATCGCTTCTCGTAACCAGCCATTTTTGCATGTTACTAAACTCCATAATGAATTATTTACAGCCTACATATGTTTTCAGGCAGTGCCATTAAAAGATCATTTTGAGATGTGTTAATTCATAAAATCTGTCTCATCTTGAGACAATCACATACGACTGGGGTCCCACGGGATTGCCCAGGGTAAATGCAGAGTCTGCAAACGCTCGCAACGCGCAATGCAAACCGTTCCCCTACCAGATCTTTTCTCAATAACCCAATACGGTCTATAAGTGTCTCTGAACTATGTGACCTAAATTTAAGATTAGGACCCGTTCGCAGACCCTCGAGGAGACAGTCCCCCCCGCGTGGCTCCGTGGCGCTCAGAGCGAGCCGGGAAGGCAGCACGCCCATTAGCAGGTCACGATACAAGCTTTTTTTTTACCTTGGGAATTCTTGTCATTTTTTTTCTTTGCTTCCTATACCTTAACAGCTTATCACGTTCCTGCAAGAATCAGATACGTATGTTAGCTGTTTTCAGAGAGCTGTTAGTTAAATTAACTGTCAGTACTAGTAGTCACTGGGCAATGAAGAAATAGTAACGTTTACGCTGGCCACTGCCTCGAAATGAAATAACCACACTTTCACCAGTCAGACACTAGTCTTACTCCAACTTCTTCCAAGCTTGCCATATACAAGTAGCAATTGCTCTTTATATTCACGAAAATCACAATAGCAAAAGAAGGCCGATTATAACCAGTACAACGCACTGACAGCTTAGGCGGCATTTCAGAGCCGCCCCGCGAGCCAGCCTGCGCGTTCCAGCCCGGGCTGTGGCTCTCTGGTACACGGCTCCGTCCGGGGGTGAGAGGCAGAGACCGACTCCTGCCCTCGGTCGCGGTGCCGCGGCTGTTAGTGCCCTCGGGAAGGTGCACAGACCTAACAGCCCCACTACACCAAACCCCGAGACTGACCAAACTCGGCACTTTCAGTCTCAGCTGACTTCTCTAAGGATCTGAAGGTTCCCAGCGCCTCTGAAAAAAAGGTTTGGGCATTTATTGCTGCCAGCAAATTCTTCCATTCGGTGGAAATGATGACACTCTTCATAGAGTCGTGTCAATTTTTTATAGTATGGAAAAAAAATGTCTTTATTCTGGATTGCAAATACAGACAAAGTCCAGGATTGGAGAGAGTAAAGTTCTACAGGGAAAACCCCTATAATCTCTCATTGTAACCATTCAGTAAAAGGAAGGGATGACGTTGTGGGAAACTGATAACGTGCCACTGTCATCAGCCCAACGGCAAACCCCAACATCAGCAGCAGGGACAGAAGAAAATCGAACACTTGTTTTGCTTGGCGACACTAGCTTTGCTGCACGCTTGGCAATGAACAACACAACTGTACACATTTTATCGATACATATTAGTGGCTTAACTTCACAAAATTTTTTACCCATAGTAACAGAGATGAGTTGGGCAAGGGCAGTGGCTGAGAACATGCCAGTGTGGGTGAGACAAAGCTAGTGGTAATCAGACTCTAAAAAAAATGCAATTCCAACGTGGCAGAGCTGTCCCGGAGATAGGGACACTCGCTACCGGCTGTCAGGACAGGGTGACCATGCTGACCTTCGCCTCTGAGATCATCCTAGCAGTGAAAAAAAAGCTTTCCTCTCACCAGAGCTTTCCTCTCCACTATCACTACATTTTTCTCTGGTGAACAACGTCTGCTGATATGGCCTTTGACAACATCTACGCTGAGAAAAACACTGTGTTGGCTTGCTGCCTGAATGAAGATGTAAGTGATAATAAATATTATTATATCCTGCATACTTTTCATGAAAAGCAAATTCAATCTAACAAAGATGAGGATGAAGTTAACTTCATTCTTACCATGACACTCTTCACATAGCCAGCAGTTTCCAGGGTCTAATAAAAAGAATGATATAATGTCAGTAAGTGTACAGACATAAAAAAAAAAAAAGTTATTTTCTCGAGGAGTATTATGACTGCAGTATTTGCTCTTTCCAAAGACTGAGAACACAGCACTGCAGAACACCCCCTTGTACACAGCAATCTTTAGCCCCGATGCGGTCTCCAGCTAAAGGAGCTCTGACATTTTCTCTCGCAGGTGCGTGACCCGGCCATCAGCATATCTACTGGACATGCTGCACCGGTACGCTGTAGATCGAAAGGATTTTTCCAAACACTGTACCACAGATAACTCACATTCAGTTCAATCACTACTAATCATAGAAATGCCCCTCCTTGTTCCACTGATGCAAGCTATGCCCGTTAGCTCACGGAACCCCAGGCACCCTTTGCTTAGGCTTCCTCTTCTGCTATGGCCTTCGTCGACCTCTCATGAGAGCGGCAGTATTACATCTTACCTTGGAGAGTTCATCAATGATGTTTTGCTGTTCAATAACTTGTAGCCTCAGGAAATCAACTTCTCTTTCCTCCTGGCTGTGGTCAAGGTCATTCAAAGAGCTCGGTCTCCTTATTGTTCCAGCTCTTTGTCTCTAAAAAAACCAACCACACGGCAGAAGAGGAAATGATCAGAAGGCTTTGCCAAAGGACAGCGTCTGACCCTTCCCTTTACAGCTGGTGATACATCTAACATAATGGCTGTTCTGCAAGCTCTCCCGCTCCCCTTTTGCTGGGCAATACAGCCGGCTGTTCCTGAGAGGATGCTTGTGGCCACTGGGGAGGACAGCAGGCAAGTGGGGCCACCGCATCAAAGAGAGGGGCTAGCAGCAGCTCAGCTGCCTCCGCTCCTTAGATCTGCCCGGACCTGTGTGGCCAACTCTGGGTGGAGAAGGAATTCAGAGAGCTGGGACTTCTCTCCGGGTTCGTCTCGTTAGTTTTGGTCTGCAGCAGTCCTGGAGCCGCAGCACCCGCAGGGACCACCTCAGCCCTCCTACATTCCTGTAATGCCACAGCTGTTTGCTACCAGCTATTGCCCACTAACAATATCCAACTGCAGAAAAAGGGAAGAGTCACGGGTGCCCATTTCCTACGGGTTACAAGGTCATTCTGGTACGACAGCCCAAGGTGAAGGGGGGGATTTGTGCTCATGTGGAAGCTGAGCACCCAGTGACTGAGCAGTCTGATCAAAGCTCATGCAACTTCTTTTCTTCAGAACTACTTGTTTTTAAAGCTAAAATTAAACATTTTCTATAAACCAGAACGTGTTCAAGTCACAAACCAGTCGTGCACCACAGAACATCTCAGCTAGCACCCGAAAGGGGAAAGTTTCCCATCAAAGTTGCAAGTTTGGGATGATGTCTGACTTCATCAGCCCTCTGGGCACTAAATTACACATTCGCTCTGGAGCATACAGAGACTTACCATTGCTATATTTTCTTGTGTTACAAATTTTAATTTATTTTCCATTCGTCGTAAGGCATGTGACAATTCTTCATTCTTCCTACTAAGGCGTTTATTTTTGTCCAAAATGGGCTTATACTGACTTTCAGCTTCTCTAAGACGTTTTAACTGAAAGATAAAGAGAGAATTAACACCTCCAGAGCTGTTACTTTTCATCAAACATATTAATCATTGTATTTAACCACCACACGAGCAGTATTTTCTCCTAATGCCAAGCAGAACTGATCAATAACTCGGTATTTTCCACTGGGAAGCAGATCGTTCCTCCTTCATGAGGTATTCAGTCTGTGCAACAAACATACCATATGGGCAATGTATTTATTTTTAAAAATAAATAAAAACAATTCCAGCTAATGCCATCCTAAAAGTGCATTGTTACATAAGCAAACTTGAGCGTAATGTGGCATATCGCCAAATGCAGAGCGTAAGGAGGAGCCAGCTACTCCTGCAATGATTTCAGAATGGCACAGGGGGAAATATCTCAATATTTTGGGGGTGAGCCACGGCCATGGCAGCACATTCACAGCAGTCATTGCCTGGCTCCACCGCCGCACTCACCAGCTCGTTCCTCTCCTCCGACAGCAGCGCGTTCCGGTCCTCCAACTTCCTGATGATGGCACTCAGCTCAGCAATTTTAAGTTGGAAACGCCGGGCATCCTTTTCATCCAACTGCTGTTCCTAAAACAAAGATCAACTGCAAATAACTGTTCATAAGTGTACACGCAATATCAATATTTTTCAAAGCTCAAACTTTTTCTTATCCCAAATCCAAACATTTAAAAAAATTATATGGCAGAGTGTAAGCTATGTAACCCAACCGACCACTGAAAGCTGCAGGATGAGACCAACGGAAAGTTTGGAGTGAAAATGTAACAAAGTATGCAAATGCAGAAGTATGTATATGCAAATACAAAGTCACAAATGGTAAACTTGAAAATAGAAAAGAAACGATCAAAAATTAAGGCCATGTTTCCAATGTATGCCACTGTTGAACTGAGTGCTTCAGACACATCACCCACTCTGAGGACTTTGTTATAAGAAAATGATATTAAAAATACTGAAGTACAAATGGGGAAAATCCATGCAATTATACCATTGCATAAGCTCTTCTTCCACAAAGCTGTGGCCCTTATGGGGTTCTAAAGGGTCACTCGTAAAGCCAAAGGGGTAGCACTTTATCTGAGTGAAAATGCTTAAATCAAATTAGAAACGAATAGTAATATAGGTAGACGTGTTCTCATTCAGAATCAGAGAGAAGTTACATCTGTTTACAAACGTGACACTTTTCCCCCTTCTCTAGGACTTGTTCTGACATTTGGCAGAAGTTGAGTACAAATCAAAATAAGCAAATTAGTGCCCACAGTGCTGGTGGCACTTTGGGAGGTCTCGGGTTCCTCATTCAACAGGTGCAGGAGAGGCTCGGGACAAAGAATAAAATACATCGGTTTGCTCATGTACAAGTATTTACACTTCTACTGAGAAACTTAAGGCTGTTGCAAAAGAAATCTTGATGAGAATCAGCAATGGAGAAAATTTGCATCCGTCAGATATATGAGGTCAGTTAACTGAGGGTTTTTTAATATTAGCAAATTAAGGCAAAAGCAGAATGGTGCCATAGTCATATTAAAAAAGCCATTGTAAAAGGGTGACTAAAATTTAATGGTCTGGATATCGCATTGTAGAAGAGAAAAGGTTAGCAGGCGTTTAATTCCTTTCTGGTCGGCTGAAAGCGAGAGCACTCAGCAGCACCAAACCCCGAGCCAGCAGCAGTGTCCCGGAGGGCCGCGGGAATTCCCGCGCTTGCATGCACCGGTTGCCTTCCCCCATTTCCCTTTGTACACTGGCCTTGTACATCTGCTCACAAACCCCGTTGTCAGCCGTTCCGAAAGCTAGCACACATACATTACTTGGTTAGAAATGCATTTGCATCATTTGTTGGCAAAATTGTGTCAAACTGTCAAATCAAGGCAGGTGGCAGAAGGATGGTACGGTGAGGAAAAGGAAGAGAAAAGGAACAGAAAATCTCCCCCTGCTAATGAAACCAAACCAACCAAACCAGGAAACAAAACGACAAAAAAAGCAAAAGCTCTCCCATAACACGGTTTGAATTGAAATCTTAAAGGTTTGGCTAACGAACGAGAGCAAGAAATCAGTGCCGCGGGGTTTCCCCTGCACGGCTATGGGAAAGCTGTTGCTCGAGGGCGCACTCATCAAGATTCTGTCACTTTGTGCCATTTTGTCACTCTGTCTGCTCGTTTGTGTAGCTGAAACCACGTGAAAGTGCTTACGGGGCTTCCCGAATGATCTGAAGCGTCTCCTGCACCACTTGCATAAGGAAGTTCCCGCTTGGGGCTGCTCAGATGCCGATCAGACTCTTTGATCTGGGAAAGTTGTTCATCTAAAGCCTCCTTTTGGAGCTGCAGTCTCTGAGCATGCCCGGCTTGAACCCCTAACTCTCTCTCCAGCACGTAGACTGCTCTGTCTTTAAATTTAATCTCCTCCATCTACAAGGAGAACAGAACACAATCACACAGGCAGGCAGCGGCTTGACAACAACAGAGCATCTTACGACCCCAAACGCGGCCAGAGAACAGTTGCACAGAGCCGACACCCCTCAACATGAAAATACAACAACGTTCTCCTGGAAATAGAACAGCAACGAATATTTGACTGTGAACATATGAACTGAATTGCTTAATCAACTCATGAATATTACTCTTCTGCTGGGAGCAACCCAGAATAAAATCTCACTTTTCAGCA